GCGAAATCGAATTGTCACAAAAAAAAGGGTAAAACCCGACATCAGTTGCAAAAATAACAGAAAAATAACCAAAAATAAGAAAAAATAACGTTTCCTTAATTACAACAAAATAGGCAAAATGAAAAATCTAACAGTTTTTATTGTAACAAAAATTACGCATACGCAACAATATCTAACATAATACAATGACAATAAAAAAATCGACTTAAAAAAAAAAAAATTAATCTTACTACCTGCTTGACTTGCACATAAAAAAACATATTAACACCTATGCCAGTAACAGACGTTTTATACAGGGTCACTGGCGATAAATTTCGAAAATTTTAGGAGCTGTTTCTACTCACCATATACAACAAAAAACTTCCTGTAAACCCCTGTACAAAGTTATAAACTTAAGAATTACTGACTGTAGCAAGATCTGGTTTATACCATATGAAAGAACGTTAAATTTGCCTTAAGGAAACCTGTTACATTGCAGAGTTGATGAAAAAATTCTGCACGAAAAATTCAGAAAAAACAAAAATGTTGAAATTCGGAATTGTTAAAAAAAGTTGGATTGGTAACTATTAATAACTACAAACTCTTGGAGCTTTGCAAATTCCCCTAAAAGTTCTCCATTAAATTAGCTTCCAGGGGGATACCCAACCTTTTGGATTGCGCTTCTGGAAGACACAAAAATTTTGCATTTTGTTGAAAAAAAAACGGACCACCATACGCTCTTGACCTAATATGTGATGTTGTGACCATATGTGTCCATTTTCTACTAATTGGATGGTAGAGCGTGTTACATCCAAGACTTTGACTCATATTATTGTAATTATTTGACCAGATTCATTAACCAGCGTTAGCTCGGTTGATTGTTTTAATTAATTCTATTTGATCTATATTTTTCCTACTTGGCCTTGTACAGCTGGAGGGTTGAACATAGGTACAAGGCTAATAAATCTAATTCCAGTGAGAGGAACGTAATGGTCATCACAGTCAAATTTAGACCCCAAAGGAAGCTATCAGCGTGAGAGCCAATGCCCTCGATTCAAGTCTTCCCATTTCTAAGCATGCATTATTGAACACTTGATTTCTTTCCTTATGCAAGAATAGGCCTTTACTTCCAAAGAATATTGTTCCTCGTTCAAATCGCTTTCTAGGTATTCCTTTCAATTTATTTAATTATTAGTACAGTTGTATGAGTATTGTTTTTGTTAAATTACAAGCCCAAATTTTTTTCAGTTCCATCTTTGCAATCGATCTATTCAAATCTAGTTCGGTCGATTATCTGTTTGTTTTATTTAAAAGTATAATCTTTTTAACAGAATTAAGAGACTAAAATTTTGGTATTGGTTAAGACTTTTAGTTTCATATTTAGTGAGACTTGGAATAATAAACTGTCCGAAAGTGGCTGTGGGCAATTGTTGCAGACTCGGTTGGTTCCCTGTTTACAATGGGTAAACGGCAAACAATCCGTAATAGGATTTGTGACTGGCGATTTAACTTAGGAAAACTTCGCGTTTAATTAGCGATCAGGCCGAATTCGGTGAATAAATGAATGGCAACTTTACCTTTCTCTCGACGGCGAACAAAAGCGACTCTGGAAAACAAATGTTCCCCAACTTTTCCCGCCGCGCAATTAGACCTAATTCCATTTTCTAAGGGCATTTGCGCGGGGGATTTTCAACTTCTCTCCTTAAGAATATATGCTAACGAAGTTGAATAAAAAATAAGAAATATGTGGGGCGTACTTGCAAACAGAGGCGTTTAAGCTTATTACATAGGGGGATTTTACTCCTAGCTTTTATCCCACACTTTTTTTTGACTCCAGGTACTTATATCAACAACTGTATATAAATTATAAACTGCCAGCAGATTTGATTTAATTTTAACATGTGAAAATAATTGGCATTACAGAGAAAGCTACCTATTAGCAGTTGTTCTGCATTAATCATTTTAAATATCTCTTATCCATTTTCTTTTCAGTCGGCGATAATTCCCGGATATGGAGTAACTGTATTTCTGTGTTTTTGTTTTTGTAATTTACTTCAAAAAGTCTGTAATACGTTTAGATAGATAGTTGGTACATGAAAATCGTAATATCTTTGATTGAAAACTCTGTAATCTTTGAACATTGGAATATCTGGCCGTCCCTTAAACTGGCACGTCTATATAGGTTTGTATACGTCAAATTTTTGATTTTAATGGTAATTTTGATTGTAATTTTAGGTAAATGTTAGTGGTAAAACATTTTAAATTGTTTGTTAAGTTCCTAATTTCCAAGTTAGTTTTCTATCAAATGCTAATCCGATATAGTTAACTTTTCGGATTGAAGAATAGGTTCATTGCATAAGTATATGTTAGGATAAGTCTCACGGCGGTATGTAAAGGTGATGGGTTGTGACTTACAAGTTTTAAACTTTGTTTTCCAAACATACTCAATTTTTCAATTATTGACATGTGGTTTTGTAACATAAGAGAAGCTTGGGTTGAAGGGGGTGACTTGTTAATATGGCGATGACTTCCGCGTATGTGGCGGTAATGCATTTCCATTTGTGAGCACGTTAGAATTAAAAAATAATAAAATCAAAAGCCTCGGAATATGGGTTCACATTCTCGAGAGCCAACTCAAAGCAATATATTTTGCCTAGGAGGAAGCATAACCACCAATCAATGGAAGGCTCCTCGAGTAGATGGTATCCCAAAGCATGTCCTTAATATAATAAAGTTCTTAAATAACTTCAGTTGGGGAGCAGCGAGAAAAGTCATACTACATTATTTAACTAAGTGTAAATTGTATTGTGGATGAATGGTATATTCCTCAGGAAAAAAACCAGACTAAGAAAACGGGTTAATGTATATGTCGCAGGAATGAGATTAGATATAGGAGCCCACCGGTCTAGGATAGTAATTAGAAATGCGCTCTGTGTTGCCTCCGGCGAAAAAAGAATATAACTGTCGTTGAGCTACTGCGATAACATCTAGATAGATTATAACACACTTTCTGTATGAAATTATGTACGGTCCGGCTTGAAGAAGATACAAGAATCCGTACAGGACCAGAAGCCATCAGTATGAAGGAGATATTAGCCTCGAGAAGAGCGATAATTCTTAAAGTAAAATACATTAAGGAATATATTATGTGTGCGCGACAGACCCACCAAACTAGGTTAGGATTTTTACGTGAGTGATTTAAATGAATGTATTTATTAGAGTGAATGTTGACGACAAGTGGGTGGGTTGTGGTGGAATATGACGTACCCCACAGACCCCATAAACAAGGTTCGGTGTAGGTTAGGTGTTTTTAGAGGCATAATAATAATACCTGAGTGGCTTCACAATTTTTAGCTGTACACGTGGTAGGTATGAAAAGTTATAATCAGTTGATTGTATTTATTAGCGTGAATGAGGGCGGTCCTTCACGGGGATATCGAATATCGGCCAAACTAAGGTTAGGCTAAGTTTGAATGCGTCGATATGCACCAATTGTAGAGCCTTTTCACGACGTGAGGAGTAGAAATCAAGTCCCAGAAGTTCCATCAAAATGGTAGCTAGACATCCAACGGGAGAGCCAATTCTTTTCGCTCAAAAAAAATAAAAAAATAATAAAACCCGAGGTGTTGACACAATAGCCCTGGTAGCAAGACGGCCTTTTAAAAAAATGTTTATTTTCTTCAATAAACAACATATAAATTGTAATTTAGATTTAAACATGTATGTAAAAAGATAACAGGTTGTGCAAGAAATTCACAGTAATGTATATTAATTTTTCAGAAATCGTGAGATGCGGTCTGGTGTGATGTAGGTTTCAGAAAAACATTTTCTTTATCGTGCCAACGTTTCGATCTTTATTGAGATCATCTTCAGGGCCTGGGATTTACAAACATTGTTTACATTTAACAAATACATTTAGGATGTGGAAAAGTGAATTTTATACAATGCAAAATATATTTTTTATATTCAATCAAAGTATTTCTACTCACTCAAAGTGTTTGTCTTCTGTGTAATTGTGCCATTCTTGCGTTTCGCGTTGAGAGTGCCAGTGAGATTTTGCTGATGTAAGACGGACTGTCCGGCATCTTACATCGGTTTGTAAATCCCAGGCCCTGAAGATGATCTTAATAAAGATCGAAACGTTGGCATGATAAAGAAAATGTTTTTCTGAAACCTAAATCACACCAGACCTCATCTCACGATTTCTGAATAATTATCGATTAACAGTCACTAATCACCACACAATGTATATTAATATATTTTTTGTATACAGTGATGTATTCCCCAAAAGATCGACGAAGGAGCTGAATTTTTTTCTATCTACCTACAAAATTTCTTCAGTGACCGACTTTTAATTTGAAATTTTAACTTTGAAATCTAATCACTAACTGCATCAAGATTATATTTAGTTAAGTAAAGTTTAAACTTTGTACTTTAAAAATGTTTGTAACTATTCAACTATGGTACAAAGTTTATATCTAAAGTTATTTTATTTATAAAAAACATTTTTCGTGCTATTTTATAGATTAATTGAGGATAGAACGCGTCATTTGCAAAACTGGTATTCATTAAGTTTTTTTTTTGCCAACTTTGTGTGCGTGTAAATTTTTTTTCGTTTTCTTTTCTGGTTGTCACATATCTTCTGGTGATGTCATTATACAAAGATCTTTATGCAAATTGAGCCGTGTAAAATTATAAATTACCGTTCTCTCCCGCCTACTTATTCGCCTCTCGGGTTTTCATTCCATAAACGACCGAACGCCTTGAATTCCTACTTTCAATTCGCAATGCTTGATTTCTGCATGGATGTACATTATAATTTTTTTTTTAACGGGCTTGATTTATTCGACAGAGTAGAAATCGGATGCATTTTTAACGAAACTTAAAATTATTACATAAAAAAATAAAATGAGTTTATTTTTGTTTTGTGCCGTTGATAATGAACAACCAAGCAATCCGTACTTGAGGGAATTTTGCTGTCAAATAATGGGCCGTTCTTCAAGAAAATTGTATTTACTCACCTGTTGCTTAAATCCCTCTTCTATCCTGAGCCAGCTTCTGAAACAGACGACATCAAATTAGTCCAAATTCTTATTGGAAATCGTGGGGTTAAGTGGCGAACAAAAATTGGAGTTACTGGAAGGAATTGATTTTGTTTGGCCGTAATTAAGAATGTATCACGTTGGGATGACAGCTCGATCCTTTTTATTGGCAACAAAAGGGTTATGTCATTAAGCACAATGTAATGATCATGGAAGTTTCTCTATCAATTGTCAAAAAACAGCGACTGCGGAAGCTAAACGTTTCGGATCGGCCTTCTTCCCGTGATTTATTTTCATCTACTTATTTTTCAGGGACTTGGGGAGGCAATTTCGCTAAGGAGGGTATCTATCTCTGACGAAGTAGAGCTTCTCGTAGAGATAAAAATACTCATTTAGTAGCTATAGCGTTTTCTTTTTGAACCTAACTTCTTTAAACAGAACTCAAGTACCGACATTCATTCAAAGATAATATACCAAACTAAAAAAAAAAATCGAAATAAAATACATTTAACGAGGTGAATGTTGCTTTTTTTACACCACCCAGCCGTATCTTAGAGAGACGTATACGGGCGAAGCGCTCCAATTAACTAAAATTTGGGTTCTTCAAAAGGGCCTTTTATATTTAAAGCCTTTCTCAGGCCCCACCTGTCTAAAGGTACGGCTTCATAAAGTAAGAGTTTCTTGCTTGTTTGCATTTATTTTAAATGGGAATCCAAAATGGATCTCCCATTGTTAGTATCTCCTTTACAAATAATTAAGAGGACACTAGCCCGGATTAACCTAGCTTGTGCATGCTTTGAATAATACAAATAACCATTGAAATAAATAATAAATATGCTATATACACGAATAAATTAATATTGATATATAAACAAATCTAAACTACATTATAAAGTCGTATCACCCATTATGTACTCGCTAAGAGATTTAAATAGGCTGAATTAATTAATTAATTTGTTTGCAAAATCTTTCAGTACTGGTAGCCAATTTTTGGAGAATTACGGCTTTAGTTTTTCCCTCTCTCTCTGTCGAAGGGTGCACGAGGATTATCTGTGCCCTACAATATTCTCCATTTGCACACTGAGCATAAAATGGCGAAAAGGAGGGAAAATTCGAATGGTTATAGGTTTAGATGGGGAGTTGGTGTCCGAGTGGATCGAAGTCACGATAGCTCAAGTGGTAGAGCAGCGGCGTGTTTAGCCGAAGGTCGTGCGTTCGAATCCCGCTCGTGACACTAACTTTTTCATTTCAATCAAAACCTTACATAAAAATGTGGAGAGATTAGTGACCGTTAATCGATAGTTATTTAGATATCGTGAGATGCGGTCGGGTGTGATGTAGGTTTCAGAAAAACATCTTCTTTATCGTGCCAACGTTTCGATCTTTATTGAGATCATCTTAAGGGCCTGAGATTTACAAACATTGTTTACATTTAACAAATACATTTAGGATGTGGAAAAGTGAATTTATTCAATGCAAAATATATTTTTTTATATTTATAATCAATTAAAGTATTTCGTAGTACGAGTACGCCAATATCATTAATCAAATACAATATATATAACATACATATATCGTTACATTACATTCCACACATCAAATACTTTTCACATAGTCTAATTTTCCAACAATTTAGCTTTCGTTTTCCTATTTACCCCCTTTCTGTATAATCCTGAAAGGATAATCTGGCAGAACTATTACCAACACATTGTTCCCCTTTGTCGGCTTTTTTCACTTCAAAGAAACCGACGCCTTACGCAAAATTGTCTTTTATATACCGGCTTCCTTCCCCACCCCTTCAAAACCAAACATATATAAACATAAAACAGCAAAATCTCGCTGGCACTCTCAACACGAAACGCAAGGATGGCACAATTACACAGAAGACAAACTCTTTGAGTGAGTAGAAATACTTTGTTTGAATATAAAATATATTTTGCATTGTATAAATTCACTTTTTTGACATCCTACATGTATTTGTTAAATGTAAACATTGTTTGTAAATCCAAGGCACTGAAGATGATCTCAAAAGATCGAAACGTTGGCACGATAAAGAAAATGTTTTTCTGAAACCTACATCACACCCGACCGCATCTCACGATATCTGAATAACAATATATTTTGCATTGTATAAATTCACTTTTCCACATCCTAAATGTATTTGTTAAATGTAAACATTGTTTGTAAATCCAAGGCCCTGAAGATGATCTCAAAAGATCGAAACGTTGGCACGATAAAGAAAATGTTTTTCTGATACCTACATCACACCCGACCGCATCTCACGATATCTGAATAACTTACATAAAAAGATTAAGTAAGTGAGTATAACGTTCTGTTAGCTCTTTTAAATTTAATGAGGTGTCCTACGGAATTGCCGTGAACTAATAGCAATTGGATTGTATAAAAAGCAGGATTACCACATATTGCTTTTGCCCTCTCTTCAATTGTAGAGTAATATTTAGAAGTCGGTCTTCCTTTAAGCCACTTTTCCATCTGGTTTGCCACCTTTCATCTATCCATTTTTCATATTGATCACGCAGTGAATGATGCTTCGTAAAAATGGTACTACAACTACAAAAATGTATTAATGCAATGTGCAAACTCACTTTGTTCTATCGCTTCAATGTTAGTATTATTTCGTGGTAACCATTCTCAAGTACCTGACTGATATCGGAAGTCTACAGGCAAATCAGTGGAGTGATATCTTCGAAAAAACGAGGGGATCTATATTTAGATATCCTACTAATATTACTTTTTATGCTTTTTTGCAGATGGTTTGTATGAAGATGTTCTTATGGTCTTGTTGCGGTAAAAGTTTCGTTTTCAGAGAGGAAACGAGGTAATTAAAATGGATGCTTACCTTTCTTTTTACGGAGCCTTGAGGGTTGCCTCAGCGTTGTGTTTAGTTGGCGCAGCTTATGAAATTATCTTGTCTCCACGTGGTGATTTTAAGAGAAATAACAGAGAGAGTTCAATATACTTTACATAGTCAATAGTACTTTACAACTTAAGGGTAACAAAAGAGAACGTACAATCCGACGGAGGTGTGAGACATACAGCTTACAGGTTGCTTTACGTATGAACCATAGCAGAACCTTCATGAACAGACCTAGACGGTTTTAATGGGATTGCTGGCATAAACATGGGTTTTATCGATCATGTATTGTAATGTTGTAACACGGGAATAAATAATCCAATATTAAAGCGTTTGTTTAAATTAAAAGGCCACAATGCATTATTATGCTCCTTCTACCTTTCACCTCTAGTATCTCCCTGTCAGCTGTCTGCTCCCTCATGATTCCCCTCTTTGAGTACAGTTGTGTCGCTTATGGCGGACTTTTGGAGGAACAGGAAAAGCGTCCGCAAATTGTGATGAATTGTTCTGTCAGATTTATCCCCCCCGAATGTTTAGAGTTTTGCACCTGTATACCGACCTATCCTGCCTGTATGTTCCTTGCGTACGAAGTATTTCCTAGGATCCTTCCTTTTTCAATACATAAACTCATCAACCTCACTTTTTTAACACAATTGAAATCTTCTATTCCCTCTTTTAACACCCGCTCGTTTCCCAATGACCTACATCTCCCTCGTCACAAAACCTCCACATTACAGCGATCCTTCCTACATTGAGCCACAAATCTCTTGAATTCTCTTTCTTTCCCAATCCGCAAACCCGCCTCTCATACCTATTTTAAATACCTCCTGTACCAGCACTTCATCTTCCTCGAAACAAAGATAACATAGTCTAACATTAGGTCCTTTTGCTACATAAGAAAGCTTGTTTTTTTCCGTTTTCTCGACTTCTAAGTACACATTTTGAGATTATGCTTGCACTAGAAAGGGAATTGTTTTACTATTACTATTTTTCCTAAATTCTAATTATTACGACTTTATTTCTATTCAATTAATTATTCTTTCTGTTGAACGTCTTGGTTGAAATAAAAAAGTCAGTGTCACGAGCGGGAGTCGAACCCACGACCTTCGGTTAATCACGCCGCTGCTCTAGCACTTGAGATACCGTGACTTCGATCCTCTCGGACACCAGTTCTCCCTCTCAACCTACAATCGTTGGAATTTTCCCTCTTTTTAAATATTAGTGGTTTAATAAATAAAAGTAGTATCACTTCACTAAACTGCTCCCCGTGGCTACTCATAAGTCGCTGAGAATCCAATCCGGACTACTCATCCACCGGTTATCTCAACCAAGACCTTCAATAGAAAGAAGAAGTAACTTGGTCAATTGACCACTAAAACGTAAATGGATTATTTATATTTTTTATATTTTGTTTTATGTGATTTATTTCAATTTATTACATTATAAGTTAACGTCAAATCTACAGTAATTCCATTAATTCAAGAACTAGATTTGTAAAAATTTCTGTGATGTTACTGTTATTCTTAGGGAAGGTCCAGGAATAACGTATTCTCTCTCACTCTCTCCACTCTCTCTCTCTCTCTCTCTCTCTCTCTCTCTCTGTCTCTCTCTCCCTCTCTCAGTTAATTTAAAGAAAATATTAAAATTACTCGCTTAAATAAAATAGAATATTTCAATATGATAGTTAATATGTACACCTAATTTATTAAGGTTTCTAGTTGAGATAAAATCTCAATGGCACAAGCGGGATTCGAACCCACTATCTTCGGCTAGATAAGCCGCTGCTCTACTCCTTGAGCTATCGTGTTTTCGATCCGCTCGGACACTAACTTCCCATCTCAACCCCACCTTTTGAATTTTCCCTCCTTTTTGCCATTTTTCAAGGGAAGTTAGTGTCCGAGCGGATCGACGTCACGATAGCTCAAGTGGTAGAGCAGCGGCGTATCTAGCCGAAGATCGTGGGTTCGAATCCCGCTCGTGCCATTGACTTTTTTATCTCAACTAGAAGCCTTAATTAATTGTAATATCCTAATTGGTAAAGCGGACCACGAAATTAGTGAATGTACACCTAATTTTTCGTCATTTTGTTATTTTTATACATTTTTACTAATTTAGGTTGTGAGAAACATAATGAAGCATAAAT